AGGCCCCAAGCCCTAAACCCTAAAGCCCTAAACCCTAAACCCTAAACCCTAAAACCTAAACCCTAAACCCTAAACCCCATAATAGTCTTAAAAAGGAGGATTCGAGGCTGAAGGTCGAAATCGTTAGCCGAAGCGGGGGGTTGGGATTTCGGCACGGTTTAGGGTTAAGGCAGTTTAGGGGTTTAGGGTTTAGGGTTTAGGGTTCTTTGGTGCAGAGGCCACATCGAGCGGATCAACGGGCATTTGGCAGCTCCACTCTGCAGCATGTGTTCGCACATGCCCCGAACCCCACGAAAGCCTCAGAGGGCGCGCCAGGCCCAAAAGTCATCCTAGTTTTACCTTCCTCTTAGAATGACCCCGATATACTGTAGCTCAACCAGAATATGCCTCGAAAACCTCTTCGCGACTAATCTTGCGACTCACAGTTCAGAGCTGGTGACCTGCTTGTCGAATCAATCTGGTCATGTCGGATTCGTTTGGGCAAGGAGCTGAAGCAGCCTCCTCGCCTGTGTACCTTCCGAACAGTCGCAACGATCCTTCGAATCGTGGAGGTTCGTCCGATCCGTGTAAGCTGCTGCAAAACCTGCGGCAGGTGGGCAGCACAAGTCTGGAGGACTTCCCCCAAACCCTAAACCCTAAACCCTAAGACCCTAAATCCTAATCCCTAAACCCTAAGACCCTTAAACCCTAAACCCTAAACCGCAGCATGGAAGCCCTTCTCCTCTTCCTGGAGTCACTGAAACAGGAGCTCCATCAGTCCCAAACTTCCCAAAGCGGCCGCAAGTTGCCATGATAACGGGGCCCTGAATAGATAGAATGGGGGTTTGGGGGCAGATTATGGTAGAAATCTGTTCGGGACTGTAAGGGGGGTAATGTTACCTATTTCTCCAACCTTATTTTATTTGTAGATTCACGGGTGCCTTGGAGATCACGGCCTGAGTGACTGCCAAAAGCGAACAGCAGCTTCTTAGTTAGCCGGAGCCGCATCAAAGCCTTTTTGAAAGCCTTTCGGGGTTTAGGGTTTAGGGTTTAGGGGTTCAGGGTTGAGGGTAGCACACCAAAACTGTTATCTGCAGGGCACAGAGGTCGCTCGAAGGAGGCATTGGCGTGGAGAAGACGCGGAGACGGCCTTTGCTGTTCAGCTACAAGACACCCCAACCGAAAACCCAAGACAACCCTGAACCTTGAGCTTTAGGGTTTAGGGTTTAGGGTTTAGGGTTTAGGGTTTAGGGTTTAGGGATTAGGGTTTAGGGTTTAGGGTTTAGGGTTTAGGGTTTAGGGCACCCTAACGCCTTCCTAGGTCCTAAGCCCTAAGCAAAGCCAGGGAACGTTGCTCTTGAACTTGGGGCCGCATTGACACAGGGGCTCAGCACTGAAAGGAGACTGAGTGGTCGAAACTCCAGTACCGGACGACGGTTCGAGGACAGATTTTTTGGGGCGTCTAAACGACATGCAATAGTGTCCGCCTCAAGCCTCCAATGTAATTATGCGATGATGTGCTCCAAAGCCTTATGTTCATCATAAGGCTTGTCAAAACCGCGCAGATGCTTCAGAAAACACCCCACAAATCTACGCCGTACCTTCAGCCCTAAACTCCAAACTGTAAACCCATATCCTGCTCATCCAACTTTCCAACACCGAAAAATCATTCATCGAATCCTGTGGTTCCTTTCTGTCTACTTATCTACCCATCCAGCCAGCCATTCACATCTATGCATCTGCCTACCTCCCTACCGGACAGCACCCGGTTAGCACGACAACCTTCGTCTCAGAAAACCCTACACCCTACACCTAAACCGCGTATGACTGACTCAGATCTTTCAATGGTAGCCCAGGTACAAGTTTTCCAGCACCTGCGGGAAAGCAGTGAAGGCTCACAGGGTGTTTCAGTACGTAGATTTCTAAATTAGGATCCCTCATAAGAATATTAAATAACAACAGTACGAATAACAATATAATGATACCGATAGTACTAATAATTACTATTCTTCTTGGCTTTGCTATTACTATATAAATGGTGATGAAACATTCATGTGGGTACTTTCATAATGCGGTGCCCGATTTTCGGGATAGAGGGCATCGGACTCACAGGCTCTGAATGGTCGTGTAACGACCTTGTTTTGTCTGTGCATACAAAGTCCTCATAATTAAAGGAAACTACAGGTGGGGAGTGTAGGGCTTCTATAAGGCTTCCATAAGGTATATGGACCTTACATAAGGCTCCTATAACGGCAACTACCCACCTGAATATGTCCTAGACATAAGTTCGCCAAAAGCCCAAAACCCTATTCAAACTATTTAGGCCCCTATATTAATGTAAGGGCCAAAATAACTGGGGTGTACTCCACTATAAGAGTGTTGGCAATTATGTAGGCCCTCATGTTCATGGCATCGCACAGCTGTACAAGCGCCATACTGTCCCTTCGCACCAACGTGCGTAGAATCTCTCTGCACATACCTCGTTCGAGGTGAGTTTCGTGCCATGCATCACCGATGATCCTGGCAAGGATTCGCACTGGGCTAGTGGATTCCAAACATTTGAGGATCCCAGCATCATGTCATCGTTAAAAGTCAACATGCTCTTAAAAAGCTTTGAGCGACTCACCGCACGTCTGGACAGATATTTTGCGTGTCAATCAAAGGCAAGCAGCGCCACAGCAAGACACTGAGGATACCCGAAAGTATCAAAAGAGTCGCATACCCAGGAGTTGCATAACCGCAAAGATGCCACGAGAGCGCCGCGCTTGCACGGTCCGCCGCCATCAGCGTCGCGAAAAGCAGCATGCCTATCGATACCAGTCCCACTGACAGCATCAGCTGCTGTCGCACCCCAGCGGCAAGGTTTCGAAACTTGTAGGCCAATCGGAGTAGAATCAGAACTATGCTTGGTATCATCATCATGCAAAATATCACAGCTGCAATCACGATGTCTACTGGCACAAAGTCCCTTGCGATGGGCCCAATCCAGAAGTCGAGAAATACCCAAAACAGAGGGCTGATTGCCTGCAAAATGCGCCAATATGAGAAAACGTTATTCGCAAGTTGGTGGACATGGTGCCGCACCAAAGTCTCGAACTGCTCGGCGGAGCCAAACGACGAAATGCAACGAATCAGAATGCTTCGATCACACATCGTGGGCTCACCTGTGAGAGGGTCGGTGTGACCGCAGGAACAGCAGTAGCACAAAGCTTGCTCAATGGTGAAATAGCGGACTTGATTCTGCACCACATCTATGCTGCGACAATGTTCGAGGACCACATATGCGAGCGCTGTGAAGCAGGGGAAGCACAGACCACATATGATTATAGTACCCCAAGGAATCATTGGCAGCTGCGAAAATTCGAAGGCTAGCAGGAGTATGCTCAAACCGAGGTGCCCCAGCAGTAATGTGGGGCCAACAAACCTAAGCTGACTTCTGAACCCCTTCTAAAAGTTAAATTTTGAGCCTTCTTATTATAGTTTATATAGAAACCCAAAAAGTTAAAGTCCTAAGAGCCAACCAGAAGAACGCCAAGAAACACCGGGCAGGCCACAAGGTGCCGCTGCGCGTCTGCGGAAGGACCCTTGCCATGCAAGAATGCAGCGATTTCCTCAGCGGCTTTTTGCTAAGGTTTAGGGTTTAGGGTTTAGGGTTTAGGGTTTAGGGTTTAGGGTTTAGGGGTTACTGAGTACCAAGAAAGCTGAACACGGCAGACTTAAAGGACTTACAGTTACAGTAAAAAGCTATCACTACCAAGCTGCAAACATGCACCAGAGCCTAGAGGTGTAAGAGGAATCCCAAAGAACCAAAAGCGACTTCGAGCGCTTCAATATAGCACCCATGCTGACCAAGCCCTCAGTCTTCAGCTGGTCGTCTACCTGATTGATGCAGGCAATGTCGAGGAAAGCCAACTTCTCCCTGCGCCAAAGCAGCAAAGTCAGGTAGTAGCTCACAGCACCCGTGAGGACGCACCATCCGGATTCATACTCCCCCCTAGCCCACGTCGGAAGGATATCAGCCACAGACAGCACGAAGGATGCTAAGGCAATCAGTGTACCCACCACACAAGCAGGGAAACTGCTGTGCAAGAACAGTATGCTGACGTACTTCAGCCACCCCGGCGTGCGCCAGCTGTGGGACCAAAACTCGTCGAGTTCGAGCACCGCCTTGCTGTACACATGGAGAGCGTCGAGATCTCCACGGGCCCACATGCGTGGTGTGCGCTGCAGAGCTTGGCACACCGGAATCCCTCGGACGATGTCTGGCCTCGTCGGGTGCATCGATGCCAAGATCTGAATGTAAGTCTCCAGATGTGGGTTGACAACATCCCGGGAGCCGTTCGATACAAAGCTCTCTGAGGGTGCTTTCGAGTTCGAAGCATCCACTACCACTCCCGAAAGCTCAGCGGGGACTCCGAGGCACGTCTCAAGGCCATTAGCGGACAGAGGGGCCAGTGCATGTGGCTGCAATCCTGACCCATAAGCAAGTCCTCCATGTACGAGCAACAATTCCGCTACCACCACTTGGAGTATCTTTGTTCGAAAAAGCTGTTTGTTCAACCCTCTGAGCGCATGAGCTGGTTCACAAACGCACTCATCACTCTGACGTGGTCTTCAAGGAGGCTAGAGCAGCAAGAAAATGATCTCGACATGGGAAGCGGACCCAAAAGACAAACCCTGCACGCATCTTCTACCGCTCCACCTGACCCACAAACTCGAACCTACGCACTGAAAGCCACGTGCCTGCAAATAGCGTTCCGGCAAGGGATCTTGGTAATATGGGGTCCAAACTAGTTAGAATACAGCTTTGAGGGTGTATTGTAGTATAGTTAAGCAGTCACTGCAAGCCAAGCCCTATCAAGCTTGCCGCACCCCTCCACAAAAAAAGAACTTGCCTAAATCTGCGATCCACACCCGCCCAAGCCCCAAAAGTCACAACCCTGACCCCCAACCCCTCGAGCTGAATGAACTGAACCCCGAAACCACAACACCCTAAACCCTAAACTCTTAGGCACTTGAACCCTGGACCCAAATCCTTAAGCCCTGAACCTCTGAACCCAAAAACCTTAAACCCTAAACCCTAAACCCCTAAACCCCTAAAACTCTTAGGCACTTGAACCCTGGACCCTAACCCTTAACCCCTGAACCTCTGAACCCAAAAACCTTATGCCGTAAACCCTAAACCCTTAAACCCCTAAACCCTGAACCCCTAAACTCTAAACCCTGAACCCCAAACCCCTAAACCCCTATACCCTAAACCCCTTAACCCCTAAACCCTAAACCCCTATACCCTAAACCCCTAAACCCCTAAACCCTAAACCCTAAACCCTAAACCCTAAACCCTAAACCCTAAACCGATGGAGATCCAGGTTGTTGAAGGATCCCAGACCTGCCGCGCTCCAAAGATCCACGCCATCCACAGCACCTTGGAGGTTTAGGGTTTTGGGGTTTAGGGGTTTAGGGTTTAGGGTTTAGGGTTTAGGGTTTAGGGTTTTGGGGTTTAGGGCTTGGGGTTTGGGGCTTTTGGGTTTGAGCGTTTTGGGTCCTGGGTTCCAAAAGTTCGACTTGAGGTTGAAAAGGCGTTGACTTCGGAAGACGTTCCCAAGCCCCTACCCTTTGTCATTCGCCCTAAACCCTAAACGCTAAACCCTAAACCCTAAACCCTAAACCCTAAACCCTAAACCCTAAACCCACCCTAGCTCACGGTGTAGGGTTAAGGATTTAAGGCCTTGAAGTTCGTTTAGGGTTTGGACTCAACGGGTTCCTCCAGCATGCGCAACACAAGTACTGAGGCATCATGCAATTTTCTCGGCACTTGTTAAAAAGAGTCTAGGGTTTAGGGTTTAGGGTTTAGGGTTTAGGGTTTAGGGTTTAGGGTTTAGGGTTTAGGGGTTTAGGTATGCAGTGTAAGGAACTAGTTTGTTCTGGCGGATCTCTACTCCTCATTACTTGAACAAGTATCCAGATTCCGTGTAGGGTTCCCTTGTTCATAAGAACCCCAAACCCTAAACCCTAAACCCCAAACCTTAAACCCTAAACCCTAAACCCTAAACCCTTACGGGGGTTAGGGGAGTAGGTGGAGTTGTCCCCTACCCCCCCCCTTCTTCGCTACCCCGCTTAAGGGTCCCTCTGACTTCGGGTTCCTGATTATAAGTATACCATTAAAGAGCCCGAAACCCTATTCTAGCTATTAGGGCCCCTGCATTTCGACCCTAAAGCAACACCCCAACCAACCCTGAATCCCCTTTTTCCACGATTCTCCAGGTTCTGTGTAGAGTTCCCTAAAACCCTAAAATCCTTAACCCTCAACCCTAAACCCTAAACCCTTAACCCTAAACCCTAAACCCTTAACCCTAAACCCTAGTACGCCATGGCGCAACCGGACCAGCAGCGACTTCCGTGGGCGAGCAGGAGGCGGTGGGCAAGCAGAGGTACACCAGGCGCCTTTAGGAGCATTTTGCTTGTCGAAGGGCATGGGTTTAGGGTTTAGGGTTTAGGGTTTAGAGTTTAGGTTTAGGTTTAGGGTTTAGGGTTTAGGGTTTAGGGTTTAGGGTTTAGGGTTCAGGCTTTAGGGTTTCGTCTTGTAGGATTCAGGATACCAGGGCTTTGCCGTTGAGGTGACTGCTGAGAGCTTGGGGTTGAAGCGCTTAGTTTGAAGCTTTGGGATGGCTAGGAATTTGTAGCCTCTGGGAACCTCTAGGAATCTCTAGGATTCTCTAGGAATTCCTAGGAATTTGTAGCCTCTGGGAACCTCTTGGGCGTTTGAGGGTACAAGGTTTGCAGTTTCGGGTGCATTGCTTGAGATCGCCGTCGCTGAGTGAACTTTGGGCATGCACGGCTTTAGGGTTTAGGGTTTAGGGTTTAGGGTTATGTTTAGGGTTATGTTTAGGAGTGCATCCTGCAGGACGGTTCAGGGATTTTGTCCCCAAGAGAAGTTCAAGACTACGGGCGCAACTCATTCCGACGGTATGGTAACCGGCAGAGTACGCAAAGATGCGGCCGTCCGCATCTATGAATCGTCCGAAAACGTGACGGCTTAGTCCTAAGAATTCAAGAAACCCTAAACCCAAAACCCTA